GAGAGAGAGAGAGAGAGACGGTGAGCTGGGGAGAGGCAGACACAGAATCCAAAGCGGGCTCCAGGCTCCGAGCTCTCAGCATAGAGCCTGATGTGGGGCTGGAACTCAGACCACGAGATCATAACCTGAGCCAAAGTCAGACACTTAACTGACTGGACCACCCAGGCGCCCCACTACTTTTCTAACTTCTTTTTCACACTGGAAGCTGCCATGTGTTAAGCATAGGAATTAGTGTACACTTGGCGCACACTGTAGGGACTCTGAAAAATACAAGTGAACACAACACAAGTGCAACACAAGTGAAACGCTGGCTCATACTTGGAGAGCTGGAGTCACCTCATTACCACAAGTTGCTGCACTCTGCACTTAAGAGTTCTATGCAAGGCATGTTTAGTTGTCTTTCCAATTATTAACCAAATTTCACCTGTGCCAAATTTCCCATTCTTAGGTCCTCACCATTTGTGTGGAATGCCACAATGCCTGGCACAGTATAAAATTTAATCAATAAAATTAAACTAGAATGCACTTCACAATGTCAAAACCCGAGCTCTACATCATATGCGTGGCACATTCAAATGCATTTAAGTGCTGACTGTTATTTCTAGATCCCTATAGATGTTTTCAATTCAATCACAAGTACCATACAACTGTCTAATGAGAACAAAACATGGCAAATTGGTTTTTCTCCTTATCAGCTATGGACAGAAGGCAGGATGAGATTTAAGTTACAAAACTGATTTTTCCCACATATTTATCACGTTTTCAAATTAAAATGAGTGTTATCCTTCAAAACAGTCATCTTGTTAAGAATAAGGATCTTTAGAGCCCATTTGTCAGTCGCTAAGAAAACCTGTTTCATTTCCTTATGATCAGTCCCAGGATGCTTGTCTCTCTGCTGCCTTTGGCGGTCTCCCCCACCTCCCTGTGCAGCAGTGGAGGGGACAGTCAGCTTCTATAGCCTAGATCCCAAGAAAGTAGTTATGCAAAGGCTTCCCTTTTTGTACTGCAGTGAGGAGGAAGCCCTCAGAATGGAAATCAAGAACACCACTACACAGGTGAACTCAAATCACAATGAGGTGAAGACTGACCTAGCTTAATGAAAGCTTTATGAAAGGTCACATCCAAAGAGACATGTATGAAGTTACGAGTGCATATGGTCATTTTCAACAATCCACCATTTGTTTCAGGTTTGAGAGCCTATTTTGCCTATTTTCTTACCTGTAAAAAGACTGGACCAAATCAGCTCTCAATCTAAAATTCCAATCAATTAAAGACTATTAACAATGTTCTTTTTTGGGGCACCTGGGTGGCTCAGTCAGTTAGGCGTCTGACTTCGGCTCAGGTCATGATCTGACAGTTTGTGAGTTCAAGCCCCACATCAGGCTCTGTGCTGACAGCTCAGAGCCTGGAACCTGCTTCAGATTCTGTGTCTCCCTCTCTCTCTGCCCCTCCCCTGCTCATGCTCTGTCTCTCTCTCTCAAAAATAAA